CGCAACATTAATCTCTTCAAACAATTATACGCATGTACAAACACAATGGAAATCTGTTTCCATCAAATAACTTTGGAAGAAGATGGATTCTGTGTCCCAAATGTGTTGTCATGTGAAATAAGTGTAAAAGCAAAAAACAGAAGAAGGTGGAAAGACATTGTCATGTTAGACTTCAGCATCATACAGGAGCTGAAAGAGAGAAGGAGCCAAAACTCAAAAAGCGAAATTACCATCGATAAAATCACACAGAGTTACAAACATTACATTTTGAAGGCAAATCCTGTGATCTGATGAAGCCAAAATGTAAATGTTTGATCATAATGACCACCATAATAACTAGAGGAAACGCTTGAAATCCTGCGAACCTCATGCCAACTCAGAAGGATGAGAACGGCATTATCATTGTTTCATACAGGAACGACTGATCGATGGCAGTAAGAAGAAAGAAAATACTGAAGCAACGTCTCCTCACATTAACCTGCAGCTGAAGTTTGGGCACAAATAAATTGTCCAGTGAAAATGTTGGCCAGAGATGAACAGATGTATCCGAGCTACTGCTGAGGAAGGAAATCCAAAACTTCATAATCTCACAAAGATCATTTCAAATGGCACAATTCAAATTTATCCACAGAGGGGCATCCTTTACAGTGACGTTTCTGAATCAATGTTCACGTATTAATTTTAGGTTATAATAATAAGAGTCAATCTTTCTCCCACTGCAGAAGCCATCTGTATCCAATGAGGCATAAGAGAAATATTCAGAAATAGTAAATGTGACAACCGTGTATCAGGCATTTTTGCTCTCTCCAACATGATACTGTCCCCCTGCAGGAGTGAGTCATAATTAATCAAACTTTTTCCATCAAAAGCATTGAAGAACGTTGAAAAGAATGTCTTCTAAATTGTTTGAAAAATCTCATTGTGTTTTTCTCATGGTTCTCGTCGTCCTTTTTGGTATTATTTTCCTTTCTCTCGTGTTTTAAGCAGTATTTTATTTTAATTTTCCGCTTTCCATTTTTCCTATATGCTAATGAACTTGGAAAGTGACTGTTCATGTATATCCAGCTGTTAATGCTTGGTAGTCATTCAGTTGCTATGATACATCTGTTCATTTGCAGTATTCTGCAACATCACATGGTGTAGTCCTAATGCTTTCCAAAGCAGAGGGAGTTTTATCAAATATTATGGTCTTAATTTACAGTCAGTTCAGAAAGTGGGACTTTCCAAAGTCTAACAGCTGTCTGAGAACAAAATCCAATTTAAAACTCTGCATTCCCTTTAGGTTGAGTTCAGAGTCTGCTCTTGGAAAATCAGCCTGTCACCACTTTTCTTTGTTTCTACCAGATGAGCTGTGGGAGTCTCAGGCTGCAAATGAACACTTGACTTTGAAAAGGCTTTAGAAATATGGTCAAATGTGCAGGAGTGAGCTCTGACATGTGGGACTATTTACAGAACTCCTCGGTTTTCCTCTGTGAGGTGGGGCAAGCCATGACAAAAAACTACTGCTGTTCAACATGTGAACCAACAGTGATGTAAAGCGATTTGATGTACAAGGTGAGTAGCTTTAAGTCCATCCATCCATTTTCTTAGTGGGGAGGGGTGATGGTGCCTCTCCAGCTAACGTTCCAGGTGAGAGGTGGGGTCACCCTGGACGGGTTGCCAGTCTGTCACAGGGCAACACAGAGACACACAACCACGCACACACACCTAGGGGCAATTTGGAGAAACCAATTGACCAGTCATGTTTTTGGACCCATGCATGCACAGGGAGAACATCCAAACTCCATGCAGAAAGACCAGGGCCAGGAATCAAACCCAGAACCTTCTTCCTGCAAAGCAACAGCTCTACCGACTGTGCCACTGTGCAGCCTAGCTTTAAGTCACACTTTAAAAAAGAAGAAAGAAAAGAAAAGGAAATAAGAAATCCAGCAGGAGCTTTCCTGGCAGATTTCTGCTCTGGTTCTGCTCACTATCCAGGGACGCCATCTAGTGTTTAAAAGCAGGAACTTATTCTAATAAAGAAGACACCCGCCTTTATGACTGACATCTGGAGGAAGACAGGTTAATAGGTTAATGCATCAGCTGGTTCATGAGTGAGTTTACTACGTACCTCTGGACTGGACTGGCAACCAGGGGAAGTTATTAAATACAGGACGCTTCTATCATATTGGCTTTCCCAAATACTTATTGTTAGCCTGCTTTAAATTACCTATAGATGTAAAATAACAATATGTCAGCAGCAAGATAAAACAGTGATGAAGGACTAAATCAAGTGTGAAAATATTTTTCCCTTTTTTTTCTTACATCATAAGAAAAACAATATTGTACAGTTCTTAAAAGTAGCATAATCGGATCAAAGAAACGTGTGACTGAGATTCTAAGACGTAGATATTTCTACAAAGAAAACAGCAACATGTTTTTTACAAGAAATTAAAATATTGTGCTAATATCAGCAGGGATGTAAATACTGAAAAAGTTTGTTGGGAGCCGTGATGGTTATAAATTCAATCAAGTGCTGGGAGGGAAGATTTGCAGTATTCAGGACGCTAGCTGCCCCTTCCTGCTCAGCTGGGCATATTTTTCTGATTTTCATCTCATTAACAATGAGCAGGGTGATTGAACTCCACCTCAAGCGCATGTGAAAACAGAACATGACTTTGCTTCCTTTCTTTCTGTGACTGGGGCGTCTATAAGGTGGTTTTCTTCCTTTAGCTCTCAACTCTCTCTGCAGCAGCTCAGCAAGCACTGAGTCTGTGCCGTTCCACCGTTTTCTCTGCTAGGCCTGATGAATATGCATCCCCTCCTTCCCTCTTGGCTTTCACGCCTGCATGTTTCTTCATACTCACAAAGACTCAGAGCACATTGCAGACGTTTGCACAACAAACATTCAGAAATCCTGCAGATGCATTGGCTGGAACGTCTTCCTGATGAAGAAAATGCCCCCAGTTTGGTTGTAATTTTATAATCCTACAACTTTAGCATCGTATGCTCAGACTCAAAGCATTTTGTGAGAGATTGTAAATATTTTTGAACATTTTGCTTCTTTTTACCTTGAACAAAAATGTTTCTGTGGATTAAGTTGTTCTCTATCCAGTGTGACTGAGGTTTAGATATATTGTGTTGAAGGTAAAATTTTTTGTCCTCAGATGTTCAAACCTGGCAGAGGCAGACCCCAAAAGGTTTGTAACAAATGTGCTCTAAACAGAAACGTGCAAGACATTTTTCAGATTTAAACTAAGAAAATGTGATCGTTTTCATTCACTTTTAACTGTTTTCCCGTTGTGACGTGACAAAATAAGAACAACATCCTCTTCTTCATCCTTATTGCATGAATGGTCTTGGACGTTGTAACTTTGTCAAGCATTTTCCATCAACTAGAGCAGCACAAAGAGGCGTATCTAATTTCTCTGGAACCCGTTCCCTGTAGTTTTGTCTCTTACTCTGCCACATCAGTAAGAAAGAAAAAACTCCATGACAAAAGCATTCAATAAAAACTCTCCTTCATTAGCTTCAACTAGTGCTTCACCTTCAGAGATTCAGATGCTCATGGCAACAAGAAGCTCTCTGGTATTTGTAGATTAGCAGATAATCCATGTGAAGAATAAACACCTTTCAAATCTGTCCCTCTCTTGGCTACTTCAAGCTGCCAACAAAAATCAAAACACGCTGCTTTGTTCTCAGTAATAAGTCATTGAGGGGATACTCTAAAGTGTCTGTATGATCACGATAATTGTCTGGCTGCTAAAGGCAAAGTACTGACTGCTTTAATCTCAACATGACAAGACTGAGCAGTCAACAAATCCAGCTGTGGCTCCGCAGTGCATGTTCAGAGACGGCGGCCGCAGCGCCGCTGTGACTGCAGCCTCGTTCGCCCATCACCAACCTGAGCGCCACTGGACCCCAAATGGGTTCTCTGTTATTTATTACACAGAACAAGCTGATACTTGAACTGAGCAAGCAATCACGATGGATCAGGAAGGCCTGAAATTCTGCTGAAACATGCACAATTTGCACAAAAATAAGCATAGATCCAGGTATGAAGAAAATACTGCAAGTCTAGGATGAAGACTGTTGACAGGTAAGATAAATGACATGGACTGTGGCACCTTTCAGAAAGTGAGATATATTAGGCAGCAAGTGAACTCTTTGTAAAGCTGATGTCTCAAAAAAAGGGTAAAGCATAAGAATTTGAACAAGTTTGACAAGAACCAGATTGAAATGACCAGACAACTGGGTCAGAGTATCTAGAAATGTACAGCTTTTGCACTGTGTTCCTGATCTGCTGCTGTCAGGATCCATCAGAAGAGGTCAAAGGTGGAACAAACAGCAGAAGTGATGGGCGGATTGTGAGGTCTGAGTCAACAGGTGAGCTCACCTGAGCCAAACTGCTGAATAAATTAGTGCTAGTTCTAAAAAAAATAATTATCAGAGTATAGAGTTTGAATCAGAGTTTGCTGAGACCGGTCAGTGGAACAAGATGGTTTGGTCTGATGAATCGTGTGTGTCATTTATCACAGGTACACATAATGCACCACTGATCTCATTTTAATGGATCAGTGTTTGCTGTGGCCTCTTTCAGCATGGTGGTGGAATAGAAGCGTTTGAGCTCTTGACTTGGCCTCCAAATATTCCAGATTTTTCAATCCAGTGGGGAATCTGTGGGATTTGCAGGACAAACATGTCCAATCCATGGAGGAGACACATCACAGACCGAGGGTCAGCGACCGACCAGACAGTTCTGCGTTGGTGAGCCACAAGAGAAGCAACTTCCTGAACAAAACTTTAACATTTCTGAGTTTCAAAAGTTTAATATTTTAAACTTTTGAAATTCAGAAACTTCAAGATTAATCTCAGAAGTTTTCCAGAATATTCTTGTTTCTAAAAGATCCACAAAAGCAATGCAACTCTGAAACAAAACATGGACATTTCCACGTTTTTTTTATTGTCAGATAAAACTTCCTAATAAATATCAACCAAACAAAAACATCCGTGGACTTTAGGGGAACTATGGTTAAGTAGAAAGTCCGTAGTGTTTTACATGTAAATGATATGAGCAGTGAAAAAAACAACAACATAAATGCGCATATTAATCAAACAACACCCCAAGCAGAGCATGATCACAGGGATAAGTGGAGATAATGTGGACTAAGTGATAAATATGAGTCACTCAAACTGGAGGCTACTGTGAGCGGGGGCGAAGAGCCAACTGTGGCATCCAGGCAGAAGCGTCCTCCACTCCGCCTCCTCTGGCTCCTGCACAGGCAGGGGAAGATCCATCCGAGGCTCAGGATGAAACAGAACGGTTCGCCTCGATTCTGAGGAGGTGCTGCAGCCGTGACAGCCTCAGAGTCCGGCTAGCGCCCCCACCACCGGCTGCAGCAGCAGCGCGCTGCAGGCGCACAGAGCGGACGCATTGCTGCTCTTCACGTCTTTCTGGGGCTGCTCATTTGGACGCCAGCGTCCCACAGAGACAGTCGACCGGCAGCGGGTGTCCGAGCTCCCTCTCAGAGGATGGTGCTGTCCTGAGAGCTCAGACATGCCATCTGTCTCTGCTGGAAACGTCGCTGTCTGGGCTGCGATTCGCTGCGCTCCCTGAGGGAATCAAAGTTGGTGCAATGGAGACTTCCGGGAGTGATGCTGGCGTCACATACTTGGAGAAAGCTGATGAGAGAGATGGATATTATGATCTGGAGCATCTCCCTCCACTGCTGGAAGATGAGGTGAGGTTGTGGATTTTACTGGAATTGGTTTTTAAGGTGTGATAAAATAAAATAAAAAGTACGTATGATAGATACATCATGGATAAGTTAATTTATTCCAGCGTTTTAATTCACTAAGTGAAACTCACATACATGAATTAAAAAACTGATTAATACAATTTAAGTGTTTATTTCTGTTTTGGATATTGTAGTTTATAGTTAAAAAAATGATCAGAAATGATTTTTATGATCTACATAACCAATGAGGAGGACTACTGGCTTGACCAGAGGAGGCATTGCTAAAGATGCTGGCTATTATACAACATAATAATGCAAGCATGTTAATGGGAAGGAAGGAAAACTATGGCAGAAAAAAGGTCACAAGCAGCATTGAGAAAACTGTGAGGCAAAGCAGGAGTTTGGTCGGTCGGAGCTTCAAGAGCAACGATGCACAGATGTTCCCAAGATATGGGCTGAAACTCCTGAGCCTGCCGGTACCACAGGTGTCTGAAACCACCCATCATTCATTCAGGTGTTTGGAAGCAAAGAGGCATTTAAAACAAACCCAGCAGGGGTTTGGAAAACACCTTCCTGGTGTGTTTTTGAGCACTTCCTGTTCCCTCTGCTGACAAGCTTTATGGAGATGCTGATTTCATTTTCCAACACAACTTGGCAGCTGTTCTCAGTACCAAAAGTGCCAAAACTTATGTTGATGATCATGGCAACACTTAGCTTGATTGGCCAGTAAACTGACCTGGAATTTCTCTACAGAATTTCTATGAATTATTGTACAGCAGAGAGCAAACAGCATATAGACGAAGTATATAAACGACATAAATTGACATTTTTCTTGTACTTTTTAAATCATCTTATCTAACATTTCAGTTGTCTGAAAACCTGAATTTTGGGGTTTCAGTAGCTGTGAGTTACACAGCAGGTCTTGCTGCGTAACTGATTCAAATCTAAACTTTTTGTGTGAATGTAGAAACTACTTACAGCACTTATGGGACAGCCTCCTGCTTCACATGTAATTGGCTTCAGCAGCCAGAAAGGACTGACATTTTACACCAAAGTCGAACACCTTGTCCTCAAAAATCAGTGAGTATGCTATCGGTTACCAGCATAAGCCATTAATATGTTTATTTCTGTTTTATACAAACCCTTAAGGACAGCAGCAGGGCTCAAACATTGTCATGTTTTTTTCCTGTCAAAGTGTTTCCTATGTTTATTCAGGGCTAATGTTAGAACCAGTTCTATATGGGTTCAACAAAGCGAACCAGCTTTGGGCTGCTTCATCTGGCTACTTAATCATCTCAACTGTAAAAGTTTGAAAATGTAACTTCTATTTAATATTTTTTTATTATTATTTTGTACAAGTGAAATGAACCGAAATATTGTGAAATTTAACCTAAATATAATCTTAGGAACTCATGAGAAGAAAAACAAAGTATTTTCCTCTGCTGGGATAGTTTAGGGAGTAAACTATCAGCACAGGCTTTGCTACTCATTGGACCTTCACCTGCTTAATTCAGGACAAACTTTGACAATGTCAAACTTCATAACTGGCTTTGTGTGGAAAACAATGACACTCAAGAACGCTGACCTTTCCCTTCCTCTCACTTCCAAAGGTCAAAGATCTGGAGCGCAGCGTGAGGCTGCTGGGAGCCTTATGTAGGCTAACACATTTAAGTTGAGCAGGCTGAGAGAGACTAGTGTTCCCCTGCACTGTCCTCATGGGAAGCTATCTATTTCTGGTGATGCTGCTCCTGCTGCTACTGCAGGAAGTGGTTCATCTCTGCCCTGTAATTTCTCTCCACACAACTTGATCACACAAATTTGACATTTTCTAACAACCTGCTGCCTCCTATGAATACTTATTTCTAATCAAGTGTTATTCATGGGTTTCCAAGGAAGACCTGCAGTGTAGGTGGCAGAAATGTTTAAATAAAGCCCACTTGTGAGATGCTTTAATTGTCTGTCTTGGAAAAAGTGTAAAATTCGTGTTCAAGTGCTGGGTGGAGGATTTGACAGTGACTGCGTCGTGACACACTTTACTCTCCAAACATCCACCCCGGTGTCTGAGTGACGGCCAGGCTTTGTGTTCTGAGCCTACAGAAGATCCTGTAATAATCAGACTTCTGCATTATGCTGGAGGCTGCCTGGGATTTCTGGGATCACTGCGCCTGCCAGGGTAAATGGTGCCAGTTGGTAATGGATCGCAGATGATGCAGTGTGTTCAGTGTGGGTGTGTAGATTACAAGTGAGTGTGTGCACTTTATGTATGTGCATCATTTGTCTTAGAACAAATATTGTCCCCTGCAGAAAATACTTGATTTCCTGCATCTGGTTTCAAAATTAGGTCACCGTTTCTAAGTGCTCTGTGTGTCTTAGAGAGGTGTAAGCACATATATTTCTATTAATTAAGATCTCGCCTGACTCTAGTGTTAGTACTTTTTGTTTTTCGTCAATTTGTCAGAGGTAATTTACAAGAAAAATCTTCTTGGACATCATAAATACCTGAAGTGATAATATTCAGTCACAGTTTTTGTTATTTTTGAGACAAGGAGAGATGGTGGAACTAAAACAATTTGGACAAAAATCTATGGAGCGATGAAATATATGAAGTAGTTATTCAAAGAAAAATACATTTCTAAAGCTCACTAATTTAAATAGGTTTTGTGGCTTCTTATTTGCAATATTTGCGTGAAGGACCTACTTCACAAGATGAAGTAGGTCCTCTATTTTACCTAAAGACAGTGATTGTTGGATAAGGTCTGCATCGAATCTGTATGCTGAATTAATTTGTGTTACATTGTGATGGGCTTGTTGTTGCTCATATGATCCACATATGTAAATATTGGCTGGGAACAAAGTGTTGGCTAGACGGCAGCTGGCTGTGGTGAGTCAGCAGCCAGACCATGGAGGTGACAGGGTGTTGGTTGTGCTGCTTTTCCCCATGTAGAGTTCCCCCCCATGACAACATGTTGCTGCTGTGTTTGAGCCAAGTGGACTTCTGACTACTTCAAACCTTGACGTGACAAAGTTCAGACTTAAGGAGTTTGAGTGGCATGACAGACGACGTCCTGAGTTTTGATGGCTGCATCATTGTAGTACATTAATCCTCAGGAGGAAAATACAGTTTGATCGAAAATGAGGTGCTAAGTTTCACTGTTTCAAATAAGAAAACTGCTTCCAAAAACAATGCCCGTAGGAACAAGAGCAGAAATGACAACATTTACCTAAATGCTTCCTGAATTTAGCATAAATTAATATTTGTAGATGATGTGTGAATTAATGATTATCTGAGCTCACCGAAGTGCTGTTAAATCCATGTCTAGTTCTCAGTGGACTAAGCAAACCCAAGTCTCCATCTTATTCTCCACGTTTGAACTGCAGACTTTTCTATCATGACTTTCGACTTTTAGATGTTTGATTTCTTTACTAAAACAAATATCATTTAGCTGTACATAACTATTTAAATTGTCTATTTTTTCAATAAATAGGGCCTGTTTGGATTTACATAAAAAAGCTCTTTAGATGTTGTGACTCCGCCTCTTTCCCGCCAAACAGATAGTATTATATGTTTAGTATCCTTCGGGAATATGAATTTAAAACAGGAGAAACTAGATTTAAATGAGGTGCAACTTTTATTTATACTGCCATTTTGTTCATCATAGTGAGGATCTCAATTATATAAAGGCTCATCCTCATCCTCCTATAAATGGTGAAAGCATAATAAAGCTCTCTGGATGCTCTGGCTACCTTCCTAAAATGTTTCTGGATGTTTCCCTGGCAGCAACAACTTCTGGTTAGGTGCCTCGTAATTAATCCATCTATTCTCTATTACTTTCAATTAAAGTCGATGACCTTTCTATTTAATTGAATTAACAGTTCTGGTCATTTACTGTAAAATTTAGTCTCCACATTTAAAAAGAAAAGAGAAAACATGTTATAATAATTTCTATCATTAGAAAAGACAAACGTTTTTGCCAAGAACAGATCCTGTGAAACAGAGCATTTTCTGAAGTTTTGAATAAGAATTGTGCATAAAACGACTGAATCCATAAAGAAATAAAACAAACTAATTGTAACCTGACATTTTTTGTTCATTTTGAACCGTCCCATGCTCTGCTTACAAAGAGTTTTGGTGTTTGAGCCCTCATGCTCCCTGTTCTGCTTTTGCAGAGAATAATATCTCCCCAGTATCTCAAAAATGCAGGTTTAAAATGACCTTCAGCCTCAGCATCAGTCTGGATAGCAGAGTAAAAAGCATCATAGGTTTTAAGTTTCCAGTTTTTGGTGTTCATTTTAGTTGAATTGATGGGTTGTATTTGAGTCGGCTCTAATGAACGGTTTAAAGCAGTGATTGCCAGGTGATGCTTGCCCTGCTGGATGCTGTTCTTTCTTTATTTACCAGAACATTCTTTACCTCCACAGGAAAATGTCTCCCTGGCCGACATCCTCTCTTTGCGGGACAGCTGCCTGAGTGAGGAGGAGGTCTGGGCCGTGTGTGCAGAGTGTGTTCTGGCCCTGCAGAGCATCAGACCCTCCCACCTCTTCTACACCTTATGTATAACACCAGACACTCTGGCCTTCAACGCTCATGGGAACGTTTGCTTCATGGAGCAGCTAAGCGGTGAGGCAACAGAACACATAATGTTTTTGATTTCTTTTTTTTTTTTTTTGTCAGATTTCTGAAATATTTTGCATGCTCTTTGCACTTACTTGAAAAATACTTTCTTTGGACAATTTAAGTTTGGAGGATAAATCCTACACACATACTAGATATAGCTTCCAGTTGTAGTACAGCCAATATGTGGGCTGCAAAATCCTACGTGCCTGTTAGTGCATAACACTTATACAAGAAGTAAGCTTTAGTCCAATATTACATAACAGACTTGATCAGAAATGCAGCAATAGAAAGTCTAAATCTAGGTTTATCCAGGTTAAAATCTAGTTTTTGATTGAAGAACATTCTCAAAATTACTTTGCCAATTTCACAACACATGCAAAGTTTTTTAAATGAACTTCCAGATCACTTCCTGTTTTATTCCTGTATATGTTTCAGCTCATTTTATTTTTCCTCTCACATTACGCACATCAGCACATGACATGCGTTACACTCTGCTGCTCCATGCTTTGCTTCCAGACATCAGAAATTGATAAGCATCGATTCGGTGAACGTAGGTTGCCATGGGAATCGTTGTTGTGGCAACCGTTTCAATAAAGCCAGCAGTCATGCTGCGTTGCTTAGTCATCTATTCATACTAACACACTGCTTAGCAAAGATCACACATTCTGGATGCAATACATGCACGCAACAGAGATAGTTTGATTATTTAGTGTTGACCTATTAGAACATTCGATTTTTCTGTCAGATGTTAAAGAGGAGAAAGTCATAAGAACATGACTGCTGCTGCATTGTTTCCCTTTGTGTCCGTTTAGATGAAATATCACAAAGCAAAAGTTATCATTCTGTGATTTTTCCTTTTCAAAGTAGTTCCAGGGTGCAGTCAGTGTTAGTTACATATATGTATATATTTATATGTGACAGGTAAAAGAGCGGGAAATAAAAAAACAAGGACAAGGTAGCAGAGAATGCAGCCGAAAGTCACTGATGAGGGAATATGCCAAGTTTGTTCAAGTTTGTAACACCAAACTTGAGCATAATTGCAATACACAGTCATTCAATTCATTAAGGTAAGATTCATATACTGCAGCCAATGAGGAGAAGGAAATCAAGAGAAAAGTTATCTAAGAGTAGCTTGAATGTTCAAAAAGCCAGAACCCAATTAATGGACATACACCGTTGTCCCTAGTAGGGTCAGGAGAGTTGCTGGTGCTTATCTCCAGCGAGCGTCTCGGCTGAGAGGAGGCTCGGCCTGGACAGGTCGCCAGTCTGTCGCACCCAGAAGTCATATTGAAAGTAAAAAAATAAAAAATAAAAACACAGGAAAAGAAAAGATAGCATATTGTAATCTGATCAACTTTATGCTCACAAACAACACCAAATAGTTGTCTCAGCGTTTATGTGGTTGAATCCTTAGTTGAATGTCCTGTCATAACTGTATCTGTATCCATTTCCATCTGCTCTTGGTTGTTTTTTCATTTAAACCAAACTCCAATCATAATCGTTGTCATAATCAATGGCCGATTATTCGCTCCAATAAAGAGACTGTTGTGTTTAATAGGAGAATATCAGTCCTCTTCACCAAAGCTCAACCTTTTTTCTACATTTTTGATATTTGTAGCAAAGTGCTACATCCCTTTTCTGTAAATGATCTCAGATTTATTAAGCATAGAAATATTTATTTGTCAAGAAAACAATCTGGTATGTGTTTACATTGAGGCGTTTGCAGATGTTGGAAATGGCTACATTTGATTGTTACAGTAGGGACCCAAGAAAACACAGAAATGTTCACTTTAAAATTACCAATATTGTTTGAGCAACTCTGACCTTGGAGGCTCCAGTTTCCATTAGCTCACCACTAAGACATATCAGTACGATTCATTTCAGCTGATTAATTACTGCAGTAACACCAGGGAGGCGGCGGGATGAGTATGTGGGTGCTGCGGCGATGTTCACATCATGCAAATTGAGTCAGAGCAACAAAATGTCCTCGTAGTCATCATGCAGAGAGGATAACAGATAACTGTTAACTTTCCCCATGAGACTTGACATTGCAAGCTGTTCCATTTTGGATGAAGCTCCTACTGGCGGAGCGCCGTGGGAGATCTGATCGGGAGGGTGTGTTGAATCTGGTAGATTGCTCAACTCATCCTACCTGTTGTGCTAAAATGCCAGAGGCACACATGACTCACACTCCATCAACCTGATATAAACTGCTTAATGACTATTTTTATTTCTCTTCTTTGATGACTATTTCAGCGTGTTACAAGTTTTTCCTAGCTACAGTGGTTTTACATGTGCCTTCCACTACTTCTTACACAGTCATGTTCTTTGAAGTGAAAAGCAAAGAAGAGAGAAGGAATGAGAAGGAGGAGAGGATGGCAAAGACTTGAAAGGAAAGGAAGAAACATGAGATTACTGGGAAAGTGAAAGCAAAGATCATCTTAACTGGTGACAAAAAGAAGAGAACGAACCAAAGGAGGAAACTGAAAAAAAAATGATTAAATGTTTTTATGAAAGAAGCTAAAACTAAAACTTTAAAGAAGAGAATTCTGGGGAACAAAATATTAAAGTAAAATAAAAAATGTTAAAGAAGAGTTTCTGCTCTTTGTAGCGAAGAGCCGAACTCAAACGGTGAACTGTCATGACCCACTTTATCCCTGTCATTCTTTCAAATCCTCCCTCTTTTCTTCCACAGCTCTCATGTCCTTCTCCAGTTGAGATGAGGCACACAGAGCTTATGGACCTGTATGTAGTGGCAGCTCTGAGCACTGACCCACTTCAGGAGGAGGATGCACCCGATTCCTGCTCACCCCCTTTCAAATTCTGATCCTGGAGATTATGTGGAGATTATCCATCACACATGAATTATGCAAACTGAGAGAAGCAGCTCCCGTTTCATTGGACTGCAGTGGCTAAATAAGCACATGCATAAGTCTAAGAGTTCTGTATTGATGCCTCAATAGTTGTGAGAAGGAAACAGGCCAGGATTTACTTCCCTATCAGTTGCTTTGCATTCAAAAATGTCAATTCTCCCCCAGATGTGATGTTGCTGTGCAGCAGAGTTCAGACATGCGTGACAGTGACGTTTCTGGATGTTTTTGACCTGCAGATGATCCAGATTGCTCCTTTGTCCCTCCGGAGTTTGACAACACGGGCAGCACATTCGAGGTAAGAGAGATGTGTCGTCGCAGCACATCATTCTCACGTAACTCACTGTCAGGTGCATGTTGTGTAAAATGTTTTAACGAAAAGGAAATAGCTTCTTTAAATGTTTTTCCTTCCTGAAGCTATCAGCCATTCATCTTACTGAAGTTTATTTCTTGCACTTCATCTAAGCTAACCTTAACCTAGTTTCTCTGCAGCCTAATTGCCTGGAATGTTTTATACTACCCGGGCTATTTCTTCTGTATCATTTCGCTGTGGGATTCAGTACAGCCTTTTTATGTAATCAGCTCCTTTGATGCTGAGAGGGTCATCCCTGTTTTGCATGAGCATTGCTCCTGTGGGATCACAATATTACTGCAAATCCTCCACAGTCTGCCAATCTGCTCAGTTTGAGTTACGCAGCAGGAATATTTATCGTTGTTCGCAAACACAATTTCCAAACTTGGTTGTTCCTGCAGGTTCAGTTATTGGAAGTTACAGCACAGACCAGAACGGCTTTATGTATAGATTAGATCAATGCAACATGAATCTGTGATTGTTACAGTTTAAAGCAGTGCAGATGTTGAACTGTAATAGATCATAAATTAATTTTGCCAGGCATCCTGTTCAGCTATTTTAATAGTATAGCCTGCACTATGTACATTAACAAGCATAAAAAAATCAGTGCAGTTTCTTTCAAACTTATCAACAGTTAACGGTAAACGTTCTAGAGAGGTTGCGATTGTCTTACTTTGTTTCATAACAAAATGCTGTCAAACATCCTGAAATTACATTTTGTCATCCTTGGGAAAATAGCTGCTACATTTGAAATGTTCTTTTGTTCCATTCAATCTGCAACTCTTCTGGTTTCAAAAGAGAAAAAACTGAGTTTACGTTTGAACACACACTCCCAAGGTCAAGACTTTGTGGAGGAGTTTTTGCAACAGTTGCAGCTGCAAGGCTCCGTAGTTCTGTCTCTAAGTTTGGCTCGCAAGACTTCTGGGATTTTATCTCTTTGCTCAAGGAAATATTACTCCTGTTCCTTCAGGTTGTTACAGTTTCTCTTAGGCAAGTGTTTGAAATTTTTATAACCCACCCAGCCTTGTTTTGTGTGTTTGAGGACTTTGATACTTTTCTATTTTCATGGTAGTAAAATAAAAATAACACAAACAACAAAAGAAAATCAATGTGAACTGAACTTGGGAATCATTTTGAGATGAAGATGAGATGAGAAAAGTTGTTTCAGCTCATCTTGTTAATCTGTTTTAATAATCAGGGCATAAAATGCTTGTGCCAGCGGTTTGTACAGATAAATTATTAAATGTTATCAGATTCTAGTTGTCATCAGGAAAATGGGTTAAAATGACTAATGTCTATGTCAAAGCTAAAAGTAGTTGGAAGGAATAACCTTATAGACTGGATTGTTATACCAGTAATGTTTGGATTAAAATGAATGAATGAATGAAAGAATGAATGAATGAATGAATGAATGAATCTGCTAACACTGAACCAACAATAAGCAGAAATCCACTGAACTTCCTTCCCCACTTACAAATAAAGTCTCAAACACAGATATTACAGGCTGTTACCTTCATATCAGGAGTTTGTGAAAATGCTGAGTCATGCTTCACATGTTAAACTTCACTTTGATGAGAAATGTCCCGTCGCTTTGAGATTTCATGCTGTTTTAAACATTTCATCACAACAAACTATCATTAACAGTCAGCATAAACAGGGGGTGTTTGTATTAAATCTACTGCAGGTGTTATAACCTCACACATCTTCTTTTATCTTTTAACATATGTGACCCAAACCTGGAAGAGGATTCTGCAATATTCAAATGTTTGTGCTTCTGTGACTCTGGCTGCAGGGCCACATTTTCTCTCTGGGCTCCACACTTTCTGCTGCACTGAAATTTGTCATAGAGCCAGAGCTGGAGGCTGAGCTGGGAGAAGAAGTTCAGAGTCTGCTGCAGCAGATGCAGGAGGAGAAGCCTGAGGACAGACCTGAGCTGGAGGTGCAAAAACACTGACAGAGACGGGCTGACGGATCAGACGCCTCACTCTAGCATCAATGTCCGAATTGCATATAAGAAAACGAAAAGTCAAAAGTGTTATTATTGTTGTTAATTTCAGTGAAAATTGCATTTTTGATTTGTTTCTACTGATCCAAGATGAAAACCTTCCTTATAGTCAGTCTTACTGAATCACTGTAGTCTTTAAAACAACCAGGAGGTTTTTCATGACTGTATTGTTCTTTTATTGCGTGGCGCTCCTTAGCAGCACCAAGAGGAAACATAATGTAAGTGCAAATCTGTTTCAGGCTTAAAGCGAGATGAGGATGGAACTTTTTACAGCCTGGTTCTGTTTCAGCAAATCAAAAATGCAAAATTAAGCACATTTGAATCACAAAATATTGCTTAGACTATGTATTATAATAAAAACATAATTAACTATTATTATTATTTGCCATAAGCTGAATGGACTCTATGTTGGTAAGCAGTCCAGGTAAAACTAAAGTATGTTTTATGAAATTTCAAATAGAGTCTATCAGTCTTATTTAAAGAAAACAGAAGAAATGTATTTTTCTGAATGTTGCAGACTTTATGATGCAATTCTCCCACAGGATATTCTGCTGCTGGCTGAAGAGCAGCTGTCTCAAACATCTTCTGCTACAGTGTGCCGGAAGTTATCTTCAATTGGACGAAGAGTGCTCTCCATTGAATCAGTTTCAAATATTCAAGGTTCTTATATTTATTATTCCAGGGTTTTTTGCTGCCCAAAGTGATTTTCTGGCCTCTGATTTGTGTCTTCTTGCATCCACAGATGAACAGGAGGAATCTTTGGAGGAAAGATGGCATCATTCCAAAGCCAAATGTCTTTTGAAAAGACTAAACTCAGAGGACAAGACCAAAGACCTTTCTGACACCTCTGGGTCAAACAGCGTGTCCCGCCAGCAGGTAGCAGTTTTTGGAACGATTTTAAAGGGAACTTTGTCTTTCCTGTAATGCAGCCTTCTTCATCTGACCACTAAGTTCAGATTGCTACCAAAATGAGTTTTTCGTGGGCATTGTGTACTTCTAAGGCAGAAATCTGTTTTTCACAAGGTCATGTGATTCTTGGAGGCTTGTGACATTTAAATTATAAATTGTCCAAGCTGGCTATTGTGTTTGCCTTGTTACCACAAACTTCCTTGATTTTCAGCTGCAAGATATTGTGTTCAAACTAAGTTAATCACATCTACATTGCCTTTGTGGACAACTACCACAGCAGCATAGGTACTTTCCTCTCCAGGAAAACAGACTGAAACTCATTTCCTTAAAAATGATAAAACATTCAGCAGCATAAGCATTGCAACTTTGCCATGTGCAAGCAAGAGATTCCCTCTTTTATTGTGAACTCATTACTTTGCCATTGTTGTTAGTTAACTCATAAATCTCACCGATTCTCTTCGTAGTGTTGCTTAGAAGCTCTTCATTTGACCTGTTCAGAACAGCTGAAATGAATGATAATGCTCTCCTCCTGCAGGTGTGTGGGGCCTGGGATTCCTCTCTATGGGCCGAGGATATGGACAGCGGTGAGGCAGACGGCATGAGTCTGACAGATGAGATGGATTGTCGGTCTTACAACAGCTCCCCAGTGAAGAGGAGATCCCAGCAGAAGTTCAGAGGAGCAAGGGGAGCTCTTAATCGCTCCTGCTCGGTGCCGGACTCCAACAATCCCCCGTGTGTCTCCACTCCACCTCACGGAGATATCAGCATTCCTGTTTCTGACCTCACGGAAATAGGAGCTGACGAACATCTAGACTCAAAGTCTATGTGGAGTAACAGACTGGAGAGACTAAACCGGGGCAAGTCCTGTGAGTCCTACCCTCACTGTAGAACTCAGGATCAGGAAAATGGATTGCAAGGAACCGATCGGGTAGACTCTTGCACAGAAGAAATAAATATTCAAGACTGTGTCCAGCCCATGTCACGGGGATGTATCCAGGACTTGGTCGCCTCCTGTGCCTCCTGTCGAGAACTGGAGATGGCACAAAACTCTTTAGAGGACGAGAGCGCGACAAAACCCAGCATTTCCCTTTCCTATAACTACATGACCAAAAGCATGCTGTGCCTGAACGAAGAGTCTCAGGATGAGGTTCGTCACTTTTACGACAAGTTTTCACTTTTCTGAACCTGATGTTGCTTCACTGAATCTACTCATATATTTTAGACACTTATTTAGTCTCCTGAAAACAAGGCTGTTTGAACCAAAAAAAACTCATCATTATGATGCATCCAAGTTGATTGCATTGCAAAAATGTTTTTAGTTTTTCATCCTAAAACCAGAAACTTCATTGTGTTTTGTTAGGAGTTTTTGCAATAGACACAACAGAAAGTGGTGCATATTGTGAAGTCAAAAGAAAAAAAATGACTAAAAACATATTGCAATTAGGTGTTTTAGTCTTTTGGGATATATCGCTATCAGCTTTCATTATACTGACTAATTTCTCCCATTCCTCATTGGACAGTTAGTCATGGATAAATGTCCATTGAAGAATAGATAGTCTTTGGATAAACTTTCCAGGTTTTACTGCAGATTCTCTGTTCCAGCTACTTCATCCTCACAGCATGATCCTTTCACCACCAGGGTTTAACCATTAATAACGAGCATTTAGCCAGATTTAAGTGTTACTTTTCCATGAAGCATTCTGCATGTTACCCAACCAATTCTTCTTTTAGCTTCTTTTACATTTTGTTATGTCCGACACGTCAATAAAGGCAATCTGAAAAAACAGGTACACGCTGTTTTGTATTGAATTATCCCAACCAAACACATGTAAGATACACTGAAGTTTGAACATCAGATTACATGTTTTCTGCAGCCTTTCCATTCAGAACCTCTTACAGGACACAAATGCTAATCCTCCTGTTAATTGGACCTGCCAGGCCAACAGGTTGAACTCCTCAGTTACTAAGTTACTTTTTGTTTGTTCTCGTTTCCTGACCAGTGGATCTCTCTCAGGGAGCTGCTGACTCTTTGTGGACGGAGGCTTACGGTTAACGAGCTGTGGGCTTTGTGTTTCACCTGCCTGTCTTCACTGCAAACTTACACTGACTTTCCAGGTGATTATTCTCCTGTTTGTGTTAAATTTCCAGCTCTGAATCTGTTGATGTGACATGGATAATTTCATCTATCACACACCCATCTAGGGACAAGTTGTGCTATAAGCACTTTGATGCAAACATGGGGCTGCTGTGCTGTTCAGTCTGTCTATCGGCTTGTGTCCCTATCAAATATACTTAAATTGCCTCAAATTTTTCTAGTTTAACGTTGAGCACCATTATAGTCATTATATCGTACAAGATAATATTCATAAACCACACGAGCACAGTAAACGGTACCAGAGGTTGGTGTGATTTGGGCACCAACCTCTGGTTGTATTTATAGCTGCAGGCTTGATAGACTGAAACTTATTTTATTATCGCTGCACAAAGACATGACAGTGAAACTGCCAATGAAATGTCGCTAGACAGAGAAAAAAATAAATAAAAATTGTAAAATAAATTGTGTTGAAACTATACTGTCTGATTAATTCTTTCTGTAATAGGAATGGCAGTCAAAAGTTCATCTACAAAAGGAGAATGATTGGTTCTTGTTCTCTCTTTGTCTTTAGCCTATTTATGCCTGGACACAGTTTATGTGAACTGCAAGGGAGAAGTGATTTTTCTCAAACCTAAAACCGTCGGTAGGTGTAATACTGTCAGCTGCTCTATGCTTCTTATTTTATTCGCTTGTAAATGTCTGGAGTTCGTTCAGATGAATTGCTGACTTCATGCATCTTCTTCACAGAATCTCATGATGGTTTTTTTCTTGCACCTGAGTATCAGGAACACGGTATTGTAACTGAGAAGGTCTGTCTGTCAGAGCTGGTTTTACCTTCTTGTACAATTAAGTGGTTATTAGCTGCAGCTGGAGATTTCTATTCTATATTTATGCATGACTTGTGTGTTCTCAGGTCTGTGTGTACGGGGTTGCTGCGATCCTCTGGGCGTCAGCCAAGTTCAGCTTATCACCAAACCAGAAGCTGGCGATGCCTCGTAAAATGAAGAGACTCCTCCTGGAGATGGCTAAGAGGACCCCCATGGAGAGGCCAACCATCGTCATGGCAAAAAAGGTTTTACTTGGAGTAATGATTGTCCTGGAGCCACGCAAATGTTCTCTGAGGTTGTCTGCTGCCTGAAAAGCAAAATAATGTTTTATTTGACACTGTGATACATTCTTACATTTATCTTATTCTGCTTCTATTTAACTTCCAGCTGAATAATTTTACACTAACCTTTACTTTAAGCCCCTAAAAGTTCTTGGAAATAAATGTAAATGGAGCATTTTGACCCGAGTGAGTAGGAAGCAGTGCCAGTAATCCACGATTTCCTGTTTTCTTGGATAATATATATGATGTGAAAGAGGTCCATTTCTGTTTGCCAGTCTTCAAAATAAGAAATACAAAAGAACATACATGTCATATAAGGCAGGTGTGTAACAATGTCTGATAAATGAGTAAATGACTGGCATTGAGTAGCTGTTCTTCCTACGTTGCTCAATAAAAAAAAAAAGGTAAAACTGGAACTGTGATAAAAAAGTCATTTTATTTTGTGTCGGGTTCAAATCCATCTTAGTTATATGGACTGCAGTGGAGCATATATTTTTAATCCTCTATTGTTTTTTATTTTTTTCAGAGCTGCATCTGTAATCTTTCTCGTCAGGGGATTAGCGCTGAGACTGTCTGGGGAAACCTCATCAGCAGAGTTCACCCGGTAAGCTTTTCTGCAGCGCTGCAGTTTTATGTGTTCATTTCCTGGGATTATTTGAACCTCAGAGTCAGAGTTATCTGTTTTATGTCACTAATTGACAGCACTGTTCTTTATTGTCATGAATGGTGATGTCTCTTTTTTTCAGCCAGCTTCAGAAGGCCACAATACTGATGATTTGAGTGAAAGTAATAATCAGAGCTCAACTGATGAGCCCCAACCAAACAGTGGTATGATGGTCCTACTTCAGTACCAATGACCCTCATGCAATATACAGAACTTTGCACTAACATGCAACAAACCTTTACAGTGTCTTGCAAAGCTGTTCCTATCACTGGATTTTTTTCAAATCATTTTAGAATGTGACAAATTTCAACCTTCTTATTCCGTGCCTCCTTTATTCTGATACCCCTAATTAAAATCTGGTGCAGCCAGAGCCTTCAGAAGTCTGTTGGTTGTAAATTGACAGTCCACTTAAATCTCAGCACAGATTCGAAGGCCTCAGAGGTTTGTTAGATAATCTTAATGAACAAACGGCATCACAAAGTCCCAGGAACATAGCAGAGAGGTTAGGGAGAAAGTTTAGATAAAGTTTGTTTAAAAAGCAATTTCCCAGTCTTAGTACATCTCAGAGCTCTGTTCAATCCATCGTTTGAACTTAGAAAGAGTGTGACACACATGTAAACGCCAAAGACATAATCACGTACCTCAACGTGCAGCCAAGTAGATAACATGTAGAGGAGAATCCTGAAACAAAAAACACTGACTCAGCAGAAAGAGCCTGAAAAGACCGAAGTCCAGTTGAGATGTTAGCGTGTTGGATGATGTGTTGATGTTAGCGGTTGTTCTCCATCTTGTCTTACTGAGTTTAAACTTGTTTGCAAAGAAGAATGGGTATAAAATGTATCTTCTAGCTATGCAGAGCTGGTAGATTCATACCACAAGAGACTGTAGCTGTAATTGCAGAACAAAGTGATTCTACAAGACATCCAGTCAGGGAGCTAAATTCAACAGCGTGCCACACAATTTGTATTTGTGAAAAAATGTATTTTTTGTGTTTATGTGCTAGTTTGTGTCAGTCTATCACATGAAATCCAAATAAAATACAATGAACTTGTCCTACGATAATGAAATGTAAAAATATTTGGGGATAAATAAAAGGTTTTGCAAGGCACTGTATAGCAATAAGTTAATTCTTGTTAGCAATGTGAGCACAGCAAGAAATTTGTTCTGGTTGTGCAGACATTTCTCTGTGTCATTTGTAGTTTCTTTTTGTCTGAGTGTTATCACTAGAAACAAGATCATGGCAGCAGATCACCCAAAACATTTTAGAAGTGTTATTTGTACAGAAGCAGTGTGCATTGCATGAGACAATATCACTGATATTGTGTCTGGGATTGTTGTAACCACGTGTAGGCTTTGTGCCCATGGCCACTGAGAGCCGACTGGCTCCTGTGCCTGGCCCTGTTCCCCACAGCTATCCTGAACTCCAGCTCCCAGAAGCCTTCACTTCCACTGCCACACACTTCACTCCAATCATCCTGACCAGTGAAGGGGAAACAGAGGAGGAGGAGAACCAGCATCTGGGAACTGTCACTCTAGGGTATGACATCAGAAATACATTGTGTGAATGTAATGATAACCTACTTAAATTTGGTGCAAACTTAACTTCTATAGCAAAGAAAGAAGACTAACAACACCACAATACGTTCAGAACTTAACAGGATTGTTTCTTTAACAGGACAGCAGACAGACTGATGAAGAGCAGTGTTGATGCTGCAGAAGGCTGCCTACATGTCCCTCCTTCTGACGCCAGTCTACATTCAGAAGAGCTGACTGAGTTTCACACAGTCATGAGCACCTCTTCCAAAACGTCCAGCACAATACCCGAGGACTCTCCTTCAGCTCTCTCTGATGTTTCCCTCCTTGAAGTCTCCCTTCCCAGTCTCTCTTCCCCCTTATCCACTAACCTCAACAGCTGTGGCATTTTCAACAATTACCTCTTTTGGCAGGATCCTGTGACAGGACATCTGTCCTTGGTGCCCGTCAAGGTCAGGGCTCCTGAGTCTCTAGACGGGTTGGACATAAACCCGTCTTTGGTCCCTCAGTCTTTGCTAGGCCTGATAACAGGTCAGGAGACCAACCTGTTTTTTGACTCTGTGAGTGTTACTCTGAGGCCTGGGACTCAGGATATATTTTATTTAAGTGGTAGCTCCACAACGTCAGACGGCTCTCTGGATCGTGCTTCACATCAAACGTACTGTGGGAAAACAGAAACCAAAACCCAGAGCTCTGCCTCCAGAGGTCAGCCTGCCCTGCAGGACGTGATCGAACTGCTCAAAGGACACTTTTCAATTAAGGGACATTTAGACAATGGCCGTCAAGACGTCATGATGGGTAAGAGCAACACACTCCTTCTACATGAGGAGAAAATTGACACAATATATTTGTGTATTATTGCTTCATTAATAACACGAGATTAAAATGATTAAATTGTTTTGCACTGGCGACTTTCATCAATTTGAGTGTCTAGCTGCATTTCCATTGACTGTACAATTTGACATTTCAAAAATAAATTTGCTTGATGAAAACATGGCAATTTCGAAAAAACTAGTTTGTTGATATAAAGTTTTGGTGCTAGGATGAAGATGTTTTTTTTTACCTTATCGAAGTTCGTTTATCTTGCAAAACTGAAGTGGAAGCACCTTTTTCTCATCACGAGTCACTTAATCAGCAACCGATGTTGCCACAGGTGGAATCCACAAACAAGATGACGACAGGAAGTAGTTAGAGGATGTTTCTAGTACCTTTTCTCAAGATAAATTTATTCAAGTGTGATTTGAACTGAAATATTCTATTAAAATATTCTTATTTAATAGAAAATCCACAATTGCAAATTGTTATTTTTTGATATTAGTGGAATACTTGCACACTTTGGTAATGGAAACTCGTCGGCAGTAGTTCATGTGGTCCCTGAGCTCCCCCTGTGCACTAGCAGGGGGAGCTTTAGCTCAGTGTTTTCAACTCTGCACCCAAAAAGATCTGCAGCTTTAGTACTTGAGTCATTGAGCCTTTACAGTTTGACTATAACTTAAAATCCTTATACTTTTGATGCTTGCTATGCATCCACTTTGAGGACAAAATGTGCACCTGCTCATAAATATATCCCTCCCACAAACATCTGTCCAGTTTGTCTGTTTGGTGCATACCAGCAGTTTTACAGCTCATTGTTTTTATCACCTTTATGTTCCTTTAATCTCTATTACCATTTGGACTAAACTTAAAGGAACTTATTGAACTTTTTAGTCAATTTTTGTGTGAAAATAAAATCATTTTTGTGTTTTCCCAGGGGAATACCTTTTCTGCTTGAAGGGACTCCGGTACCAGCAGTTTGCCAGTGTAGTGAAGGAGAGATTCTGTGACCTGCACTGGGACGATGACTTACTGGGTGTGTTGCACTGCCTGGTGAACTACAGCTGTTCAACACTGTGAGCAGGTCTTTTTTTGATTCTCTTAATACAGTTATTTATTTTGTAAATGGACGTTCATATGACCAGGGGCACGCTCTGCTTTCTTCTGCTCTGTTGTCTCTGTAAGAAGAGCAGGTCACAGTGCCTCGATTGCCACCAGCTTCAATAAGCCGATGAGCTTTGATATGAGTCACTAATTCTGATATATAAAAAGTTATTTATTAGTCTGCTTCCTGGTCGCAAAATGTTCTTTTCCATTTTTTTCTTTTTTGCCAAAAACTGAAATATATTGCATTGAGGTTTTGTCTGATAAACCAACACAAATGAGCACATTCTTATAATGTGAAGGAGCAAATGTTACACTATTTTAAATATTTTGTAAACATGAATCTGGAAAACTGCTATACATTTGTATTCAGGCCCTTTTACTCTTGTACCCCTAAATAAAATATGCACGTAACTTAATCTGAAATAGAGCTGAGAACTCTTACAAAATGTTTTAAGCCCAAAAAGTCGCCACTAATGGTCCCTAAAACTTGACTGTGAGCTGATTTGAGGACTGGTGAGACAAAATTGGACATTTTTGGAAAATGTGTGTCATTTTACTAACATATTATATCAGAAAAATAACATGATAAGAACAGTGAAACATTGTTGTGGAAGTGTAACATCTGGGTCTGATTTAATTCTGTAGGACCTAAATATGGAGGCTGTAATTGATGGAGCTGTGAGTTCTGCTCTCTAGTAGAAAGTCCAGAAGGAGAATGCTCAGCCTCCAGTTCATTATGGACCATGCAGCAGTGATCAGAGTTACACTAGCAAGTCCACACAGGATCATTTACAAAAGAAGCAAAATGATTATCGTGTTGTGGGCTAATCAAAGCGGGGAGTCTAGGGACTTAAATCCAATTGAAATGTAGTAGTGTAATCTTAAACAGGCTGTTTGTGCTTTAAAATTCTCCAGTGAGGATAAAAACAATGCATTAAGCCAGAATCCCACCAATAGCTATTCATTATCCACATGGGGCCAAAATGGTAGATTTGTCTTCTAGATAAGTAAAATCAAATGCATTCTGTGTTCATTCAGGCTGTCTATGTATGGTATCAAATGTGTTTGATGATTGGAGATATTTAACTGACAACAAAAGCAAGCACAGAGGAAATTTATAAGGGGGAAAATACTTTTCCAGATCTAGAAAATACCACCATGAATCTGTTATCTAACAGCCTGTAAGCTGCTGCCACAAGTCAGCAACAGACTGTTTCATGGCAATTTCAGGCTTGCTGAATGTGCTTTATCATCTGAATGATGTAGAAACAGATAATAATATGGTTCACAGTCTCTGATGTTGCTTTGAGGAATCTTAATTTACTCAGTTGATAATTTGTGCACTACCAACGTAGGACCTTTTAGGATCGCTGAGTGTGTAACCAGAGATGATATCAGAGTCAGTCGATTAGAAGTAGCTAAGGTACAAGGATTTGTGGCAGATAAAGTTTGTCTGTAGCATCAGGCCAAAGAAATCAGTCAAGGAGTCAGGACCGCTGTTTATCAGCCTGGAAATGTTGCCAAACTCGATTCCACTCTAATGCTGATGCTGATAAGCTTATCCACACCGTCTAGTCCTGCTGACATAATCCTGCAATGCACTTATCATTGGGATTCAAAGCAAAACAATGCAAAAGGTTTTGTACTTCCAAAACCATGCAACCAAGGTCCTGATGAGAGTTCAAAACAGACCACAGCACCTCCAGTATTCCCTCCATTCACTGTCACACCCTGTGCCTGGATTGTGTACGAGTTTTGTCATCTCACCTTCCAATGCAATACTTTCCATCATGCTGACAATCTCACACTTCTCCTGCCTTTTCTATAATATTAAAGGGGGAGTATTATGTATTATCAACAGTTTTGAGCTTCACCTCATGTCATAATGTTAGTCCCCTCATTACAACATACCTGGATTTTTTCATGCATGTTTCATCTCCCCTGGTAGCCAAACGAGTGGCACAGCCAAGCGCTGCCTCGTGCACCAAGCTCCTCCTTGGAGCTGCAGTCTCTGGTCCAAACGTCCACATTACAGAGCCCCTCAGCTCCTTTAGACTAGCCAGCAGCAATTAGCAAACACCTAGTGTAACTGTGAGTCTGCTGATCTTATCATATAATCTACATCTCAGTGAAATGCTGGTGAAAATGTCAAGGCCTTGATAGAGGAGCTTTGCTTTGATGATGTCCTGAAAGCAGAATGTCAGAAAGAGGAGGAGCTTCTTAAAGAGACAGATGCCCAATTTCAAGGTGTTCAATTGTGAAGTCAAGTTTCTATGAAGTCATGTTTGATATGTGCAGCATTTTTATAACAAATGAAGGTAACATAGTTACTTGACTGTGCTGTAAAATCCTATTTTAATTAAAGTTTTTGCATTGTGTCCTATGGACTGCAAAAACAGTTAATAACACAGATCTAAACATTTATTCTGAATGTATTTTCCTGTGGGTTTACACCAATAGAAATGCACAAAGATAATGCAGACCACTCTGATCGTTAAATCTCCTCTGCTCATTATGGAGGTGTAACGTTATACCTAGCATTTAAAAGAGGTTTTCACACAGAACGCAATTAATACAAGAACTAAAGTCAGCAGTTTAGATTGTCTCTACGGTAACAGCATGGTGTTTTAATTTCCGGTGCACACTGGACACATGCATAACCTACTGCTTTGCCTTGTCACTAATATGCTGAGAGGAAGCCCTTGGCCATTGGTGGAGCTTAAGTGTGTGAATGCATACAAACATGACATGCAAAAGACAAGCAGAGAGACTAGCCTCTCAGTTCCTCTGGCTGCTTTTCATTCAGTGCTGCCATGATCTTGTGCCCAGGGCAGCGTGCTAAGAGACTCTTTAATCTGCTGCGTTAGGACGACACAACGGCTTTGGAGGGCGATGGACAAGCTTTACCTCTGGCTGCAGGCTGGGGATGGCGCTGTAGCCTCAGCTCTTTCTGAGCGAATCAGAGGAGAGTTTTATCTATTTATTACTCTGTCCATATCAAATTTGAGTAAGAATGGATCTGGGTGACTTTGACAAGCGAGAGCAGTCGCAGTGAGATTTGTTGGCTGCCGTCTTTGATTTGTTGCTCCAGCTCACTATTGTACTGATTAACTGATTATCATTATTTCAGTGATTAATGTTAATTAATTCCCTCATTTCCAACATCTTTGAATGCACCGTGTGTTTTGTGTCTCCTGAAGCGCCCCATGCAGAGACCTTAATGAGCAGACTCCATCTACGGCTGTGAGGAGGGCAGCCGTCACTCCACCCTTCACCACGGCTGCCTGCAGAGGGAAGACACAAGTTTGCCTGCACAGCTGTCTCGATCTGAATGGAAACATTCACGCTTCTCGTCCCGTTGCTGGCGGGATATGGGAGGGAAGTGAGGCGACATCTTGCTGTGGGGAAGATGAGACGGTGCTGGAGGGTGCTGAAATAAGATTGGAGAAAAATCGGTTTTGGATAGGTCAAGGTAGGAAACTCACCTGTGCACACTTATGGAACTGAGTTGGATTGGAATGCAGGTTTCTGACTGGTCAGTTTAATTTTGGATACATTTGTGAGGATTTATAATTTGCTAATTCGTCACTGACATATTCTAATTCATATTTAATTGGAAAATGGAGATATCTTGTTGTATTATCTGCTGGTTTGTGAATCTCAATGCGTCCAGCATCGTAAATGTTGGCAGTAGTTTCACCTTTTGCAATAAGAAACTGCAGAATATAGGTAGGGCTGTCACATTGGAATATAAAACTGAAAACTATTAAACAAACATGTCATCCACTGTTATGTGTAATGCATTTGATGCATTTATGGTAATAGGTCAGACTAGAGATTGATCTAATATGTCAGCATTTTCTCAAATGAGAGTTTTTTGCTGTCATGAACATTTGAAGTTTTCACTCTGGATCCTGTTTAAGAAAAGTTTTGTTCCTTTAAATGCCGGTTCCATGTGGATGCAGGGCACAAACAATTCATTTTATTTAGAAAAATAAACTAATAACTTAAAATGTGCAGCCTAATACTTAAAATGATCAACAATGGCAACTTACTACAGAAAACCTAACACTTAAGCACGTTTTAAGTTACATGGAGAGTGACAATAATGGGTTACTGTGAGAATTTCAGCAACACTCGAAGTACAAAGAAACCAACTTTATTAAAAGACCAACATGTTTTGTAATGTTTCTTTTATCAGGGTCAACACAAATAATGAAAACAGTCACACTTCATTCTTTAAAGTGATTTAAATTTATGATATATTTAAAGAGCCACAGGTCTGATTTACTCACTGGTTTTCTGTATTCATGTTCGTTTTGCTACCTGCAGATCATTTATAAAAACATATCAGACAAATTAGAGGGAATATTTCTAAAATAATTTGGCGCTGCCAGCTCTTTGAGTGCCTTGATGATTAAAACTAAGCTTCCTATAGTTTAACAAAAGTCCTGAAACATGATTCATTTTTGATTCGTTCATGTTTTTTGTCTTGAGGTTTTTAAGGTTTTTATAGGATTTGTATGTGCTGAAAAGAATCAATACTGCTTTTAGATTTGAATCGCTTCTGTGATGTGTTGGGAAATGTCTCTTTTCAAATCTACTGACTGACATATCAAGCTGTTCTCCAGCTTTGCACACATTCATAAGAGTCCAAGCCGCTCCAGAAAGCTCCAGAGTTTTTTTTTTTTCTGGAACTCATTCCTGGCCCGTCACAGTCAGCAACTCTGCTGTAGTTTCTTTCCTGTTAAAATATGCCAGACAATCTTGGCTACAAACAAGCTCTATAAAAGGTATGCGGAACAAAAACGTTAGTGATAGGGCTCGAGGTTGAATTGCCTGAAAAGTCATTTTTGCAAACAGTAGCTGCATTGTGCAGCCACGACAGAGTTAGCAACAAATACCCCCAGCACCACTCTGGGGTATCTTTCTGTGTGGTTGTTGCACAAATCCAGTCAGTCTTGTTGCTTTCCATGTGATTCAGACCCCCTCTTCTCTTCTCTCTTTCTGTTTTTTTTGGTCTGTTTACCATTCGAGGTGTGAAGGCAAACAGTTCAGAGTCTGGGGTTATGGAAGCAGGAGGTCATTCAGCGGGTGGCAGCGATGAAAGCCCCTCTGAAGCCGAGTTTGTGTCAGGGAGAGAGGAAGATCTGATGGGAGCCCACGATGAGCAGATGAGTCCTGACCACTCGGAGGACATGGAGGACAGTGACTCTCTGGTGTCGGAGCGGCTCGTTTCGCCCACGTCCACGACAGGCTGCACAGGCCTCAGCTTCAGCCCGGCCTGGGCCCTGGCTCTCTTTGGAGAAGATTGTTTTAGTCAGGAGGTGATTGAGTATGCATTGAATCTGGGAAAGCACACAGGATCGCCGAGCCTGGAAGTGAAAGTGCAGGTGAGTAAATGCTGCTGGCGGTGAGTCATCTCTGACCTTCTCTCAGTTTGTCTGAGCAAACAAGCAGACTGCATCATTTATTTATTAAGCATACTAACTAGATGACATGTATTATAAAGCAGGATTTGATATGTTGCGTTTTGCATTGGCAGGAATGCCTATGTAATGACATAAAAGCTGTCAATGTTTAAAATGTTGAAGCTGACCTATTAGATCTGTTGTGCTTCTTTAATTTTTTATTTTTTATTTTTTTGCTTAAAATGATGTTCAGATAATGATATTTTAGTCTGCTCAGTTCTGCCTAGTTTGAGCTCCTTTCAGAGTTGTTTTAGGGCCTCTTGTCACTTTAAATCCATCTAAGCTGCTGCTGGCCACGCCCCCGACTCCATATTTACACTCGCATGTGAAAATGTCTGCAAACAGTTTTGCAGTTTACAACCATATGTATTTGATAGAGGTGTGCCGATCGATCGGTCACCGATCATAATTGGGCCGATTTCCGTGAAAAAGTGCATGATCGGTGATCGGCGATCATTGTCTCTTGTTGCCGATACCGATCATCTCATTTCGCAGCCTGAATGTGCAGCTGGTCTCCTCTTTCC